GTTAGGTTAATATCACATCAACTTTATTTGGACTTTTAAGATCCTATGGCCCATTTTGCAAGTTCTTTGAGTCTGGACGTTCAATATCTACCTAAAAAGTATGATTTCTTGTCAAAGAAATATTAGGTAGATTTCGTGCTATTTTAGTATGATATAAGATGGCCGACTTAAAAACCTACAAGTAAGATATTTATCGAGTATTTTATTCTCATTCATGTTATTCGTCTTTTACAAAAGAAACCTTAACTGTTCAGCATGAGCCGTAGAACTATAAGAGTCGAGACACATCAACTCGTGGTCTTAAAACTTCTCATTTTTTTATGAATGATTTCCTTTTATGGTCCGCTAAATAAGGTAATTATTTTAATTTCAATAGTCAAACTTAAATTATTTAAATCATAAATTTTAATTATTTTAATTTCAATAGTTAAACTTAAATTATTTAAATGGTAAATTTTAATTATTTTAATTTTGATAGTCAAACTTAAATTATTTAGATTGTAAATTATAATTATTTTAATTTCAATAGTCAATCAACTCAAGTCAACTATAAATTTTTTTTGGTTAAATTAGTTCGGATGGTTCTAGTCATTATTCATATTTTTGTTTTAAATAAAGTAAAATATTAGTAGGTAAAATATCTATTTATTTAAATATTATTTTCAAAAAAGTTATTTTTTTTTAGAGTCGTTAGAAATAAATAATAAAAAATAATAATTATGGGATTAGATAAAAATAAAACAAAAATTGCATATAATTGAAAACTATTTTGAATATTTAAAAAAAAGTGCAGTTTTTATTAATACAAAATCTATTTATAATTATATTAAATACAATCTTTTAATTGGTATCCACTAAATTGTATTTGGAAATTTTGACAACAAATTCCAAATTTCTTATTTATTTATTTATGGAATGTCGGTTGCTAGAATATTAAATAATCTTTAAATTATTCTTTATTTAACTTAGTGCTACCTTTTACAAATAAATAAATAAAATCTTGTTTTTTTTTTTATTTTTAAATGGTAGAAACATGTTTAGCATAAAAATATTATTATTTAACCAAATTTAATTAGAAAACTATTCTATAAATGGTTGATATTCTAAATAATACAGATATTTAATAAATTAGGCTCCATAACCGAATAATTATCTTATATGGAGAGTGATTAATTGGTCGGTCAACTTTTATTTCATTTATTGTCCTTGTCATCGGTACCTTCATTGCACCATACCAAATAAGGTTTTGCAGATCCTCAATTTTTCAACATCAACACATTTTGTCAGCATGTTTGTCTTTAAACAGGTATCACCTTCTTCCATTGACTTACAAATGAAATGACATTATCTTCCGATGTGTTTTGTCTTTTAGCGATAGATCGAGATTTTCACCAAGTATATGACACTTTGACTATTTGTATAAAAAATTTTATTTCCAGTTCCGACTATTGCCATATACTCGGTCTCAATAGATGAAAGGGCAACACACTACTGAAGCCTAAATATACAGATCATTGTTGTCCCGTCAATAGTGTAGATACGTTCAAACGTGTTGTTACTATAGTCTACGACTCCACTAAAATTAGCATTCACAAACTCCTAACTACAAAAGCGTATGGAAATAATGTTATGTGCTCCGCTCCTCAATTGTTTTGGGAGATTGCCCCTATGACAAGTTAACACGATTTGTCAAAAAAATAGTCATAGTTTTAGTGTCATTCATCAAAAATTTGTGCAATATCTTCTCAATATACTGTTTCTATTATAGATTTGATGTGCCAACAGATATGTCTCGAACAATCCTTATCTCAAGAATCTGATTCATTACACCAAAATAGATAGTTTACCTCCAAACACATACGAATCAACCTATTTCTTGAAATAACAATAATGATCATTTTCACTCCTGATACCACTCTTCCACATGAAGAAATCAAACTTTTTATTACCACGGTCTCGGTACCGGTTTCAATCCATACAACTAAGCTTCAATGCCATGTGCTCCTTACCTAAAATTACAAACACGTCCAATTGTAGCATATAAATCTCCTCATTTAGATCTCTACCCTCGCGATCCAAATTTTTGACACGCAACCACACTCGGATAATAGTTAATTTCAAGAAGAAGAAAAAAAATTTCAATTTGCTTACATTATGTTGGGTTCAGTTGGGTTCAATGAAAGTAAAGTTTTATATTTTTAACTAATTGATGAATTATTCTAAAAATTGTTTATCAAACTGAATTTAAACTTAATATAAAAATAAAATTAATATATAAAGAGTGACTAAATATTTTTTGGTCTAGTTTTATACGAACTCATTAGAGATGATATCCCACTTATATTCTCTGCACGAACCATTTATATCAAATCATGTATAATGATTATAAAGTGGGTCATATGAATAGTGTTACCGGTAAAGATTAGCCATCAACTTTATCCATATAAGGTAGACTCTACAGAGGATCTAGCCAAACTTTGTTTAAAGCATCTCATCATCACGTCTCCAGGAACCCCAAACTTGTGGTTACAAAAACATGAGAGCCCATCATTTCCTTCTCGTATGTTTCCCCGTCCATGGCCACATAAACCCATCCCTGGAGCTAGCCCATCGACTCACAAACTTAGGCCATCATGTCACCTTCGCCACCACCGTCGCCGCAAATCGCCGCCTGACCAACACAACCACCCCGCATCCCTTACTCACCTTCGCCCCTTTCTCCGACGGCTGCGACCACGAAACCCTCAACCCCAACCGCACCTTCCCCCAATTATTCTCCGACTTCAAGCACCACGGCTCCCAATCCCTAACAAAACTCATCACTTCCCACAACGAACAAAGCCCCTCGAATCCCTTCACCTTTGTCATCTATTCCCTCTTGTTCCATTGGGTGGCGGATGTCGCCGCCGCTCTCCACATCCCATCGGCGCTTCTCTTCGTCCAACCAGCAACACTCTTAGCTCTGTATTACCATTACTTCCATGGCTATGGCGATACCATTCCGAATAAAAAATTGCCGGGGTTGCCGTTGCTGACGGAGAAGGACATGCCGTCGTTCTTGTCCCCGACAAGCCCTCACTCTGCAGTTCTCCCTTTTCTCAAACAACAAATCGAACTCCTCGACCAAAAAAGCCAATCGAAAGTACTCATAAACTCATTTGATGCGCTGGAGGAACAAACCGTGAAGGCCATCGATGGGTTGAAAATGATACCAATTGGACCATTGATTTCAATTGGTAAATCAAATGGGAAAAACGGGTCCAACCCATTATTTGAAAGTGAAAATTACATGGAATGGTTGAATTCCAAGGCGAAATCGTCGGTGATTTATGTTTCATTTGGGTCAGTGTCGGTGTTGCAGAGTAAACAAGCAGAGGAAATCATGAAAGCTTTAAATGGGTATACGTTTTTATGGGTAAAAATTGATGAAGAAGCACAAGAAAAGGAGAACGGGAAAATCGTGCGATGGTGTCGTCAAGATGAAGTGTTGAATCATCCCTCGGTGGGTTGTTTTATGAGCCATTGTGGGTGGAATTCGACGATTGAAGGCATGGCGGTGGGGGTGCCATTGGTGGCTTTTCCGCTGCAAATTGATCAAGCTACTAATGCGAAGCTTGTGGAAGATGTGTGGAAGATTGGGGTGCGAGTGGCGGCTAACTCGGAGGGGTTTGTTGAGGGGGAAGAGATTAGGCGGTGCTTGGACTTGATTATGGGGAGTGAAGCTAATGAACGAAGGGATGAGATTGTGGGAAATGCCAAGAAATGGAAGGATTTGGCTACACAAGCCATTGGTCAACATGGTTCCTCCACCTTCAATCTCAAAGCTTTTGTTGAAGACATTGATAATAGTGATTGAAATGTCTCCAAATCCCTGTTATTGCATAACAAATATTTTGATTAGTAATAAGTTTAACATATATTCGGTTCCGTTTATATAATGTTAAGAATAATGTTAAGAATGAGAAACAGGTGCGAAATTGAAAGTCCAATTCATTTTTTTAATAATACAATTTGGATTTAAGTATATTATCTTGAAGCACGAGTAAATATATACCTTATTGTATTTTTTTTAATAAAGAAATTAATCCAATTGAATCATTAAAATTTAATTTCTCCCACCAAAGTATGGACATGTCATTGATGAGATTTGAATGAGGTATTAAATTTAGAGCTACCAATTGGGTCAAGTACCTGCAAATTTAAGGCTATGGTTGAATATGAAATATGGATGCGTGTGTGGTCAATAATAGTTTAGTACACCAAGGGTCGACCCATGTGGGCCAACCTCATCTTTGCACATGAGGTTTGAGACTTTTGGGCTTAGGTTTTTCTTCGAGTTTTGGCCTTGACCTGGTCTAACAATTGCCCCACTCTCGAGTTTTACAAATATATTGTCGTGTTTTTCAATCAGCTGCTTAATTGTGTTGAAGATCGTTGAGAGTGAGTCACACATTGATTAATTTAGTGTGAGATCATGAGTTTATAAGTGAGGAATACTATTTCTTGGAGTTTTGGCCTAACAATTGTCTCACTCTCGATCTAGGTCCTACAAATCTAGTGTCGTATTCTTCAATTAGCTGCTTAATCGTGTTGAAGATTGTTGAGAGCGAGTCCCACATTGATTAATTTGTTGGAAGGCCACGGGTTTATAAGTGAGGAATACTATCTCTTGGAGTTTTGGCCTTGATCTGGCCCGTCGTGTTCTTCAATTAACTGCTTAATCGTATTGAGGATTGTTGGGAATGAGTCCCACGTTGATTAATTTAGTAGAAGATCATGGATTTACAAGTGAATAAGACTATCTTACGAGACCTTTTGGAAAAATCGAGAGCAAGTCTCTTTAACCCAAATCAGTTGGGCTTGAGCACAGGCCTGGATTTCTTTATAGGCCGGCCCAATAAGGGCCTGGATTTCTTTATAGGCCGGCCCAATAACGAGTCATGAATTTCCCGCCAATTAAAGTAATGCAGCGCGGTTTCACCCAAGCTTCCCGCCATTTTCTCTTGTTCCCGCTCTCCCTCCTTCCCTCTCCAGTACGCTATCATCGCCCATCGATTCCAAGTTTTATCGGTAGAATCCTCCATGGAAGCAAAACTTCGTGCTATGGCTTCCAAACGTTCCTCCATTGTTTATCAACCTCGAGCTCTACAAGCTGGATTCCTCCACTTACCTCGCAAAAAACCTAAGATGCTGCCGCTATCGCAGCCGAATGAACTTGCTTCGAAAGATGGGGATGGGGTTTCGGATTTTGTTGCGAAAGATCTACGCTTAAAGCGAGTATTCTCCCCCAATCTAGAGAATCGCTCCTCGGTGACATCCGGAGAGCTGATTAGCGACAAAGAAGGACCGATGACCGCGAATGGAACTTGTCTGAATGAAGATAGTGGAGTCGGTAAAATCTCCGAGATTACAGAGGTACGGAACGAGAATTTTTGCAATTCTAATCGGTATGCTGAATGCGATGAGGATCGGAAATGTAATGGGAAGAGTGGAGAACAGATTCATTCGACACCTCCTGATGTGGAGTTTCTAGCTGGGGGTTTTGTGGCGGCTTCTTCAAATGGATGTCCTCGATCAAGTAATGGAGGTGTCATAGGGGATAATTGTGCGAAAGCTGACTGTAGAGTTGACTCTGTTACTAGAACTGGATCGGTAAATATCTCGTTTAAGTTAAATATTTCACCATTGGCTGGATTTTATTTTCTTGTGCATTGATTTCTTGCAAATGTTGTCCTGTTGTCTCTTTGATAGGTGTCATGGGATTATAATTATAACTGTGTATACGAATGCCACTTGCATACTTATTGATATTCTTTTGTTTATGGTGGTCTAATTTGGGTCTTGTAATTATGAATTAGGTGCTCAAACCATGTTCTAAACGGAAGTTATTCAAAGCACCTGGCTCTATTGCCTACAAAAGAATGCTGCCTTTTTTGCTGGATAGCGATAATTGTAAGTTTTGTGCCCGCTATGTTCTTTACTGTCGATCCAGGTTTGTTTTTAGGACTAACTGATTTTTAATGTACTACAGTCACCCTACTAAGTGATCCATACTCAAAACGTGAGAACAATTTGGAGAAGAAGGAAAATATTGAATCTAATTTGTGTAATCCTGCCAATGGTTCATCTTTCGTTGATTCAGATACTTGTGTAAAGAATGCGGTTTTTGCCTCCGGGAATGCATGTAAGATTATGAAACTAAATTTACCAACTCCTGATAATGGTGATACTAAAAAGTTTCAGAATGGCAGTGATTTAAACAGTGACCCGACTTTAGTCGAAGAGGGTTCTTGTTTGAAAAAGGATAATGTAGTTTGTGCATCTTTTATTGACGAAAGACCGACAAAGTATGACACAGAGGATCGATCTTCTAAAGAACAATCCAAAACCTCCGGAATGGAGAGGCTTGATGGTGGGAATTATGCTATATCAGAAGCAGAAAACTTTAAGTCCCATGTTTCCGAGAAGTTGTGTAACAATATTTCTGAGGATGTCAATAGAGAAGATCATTTCAATGAAGAACTCAAGATGTCATTACTGGATTCTAACATCGGTTGTAACCCAGTGAAGGAAGAAAGAAGGGAGGAAAAAGTGGGATGTAGTCGAGGCGCAGATCAAAAACTTGGTAGTTTTACTGTTGGCGAAAATCATTGCAACATTGCTACAGAGAGTGACAAGAAATATGGCACCTATGTTAGAAATAAAATGGTGAGATACATTTAATGGTTTTACTTGTTTGCTCTTCTGCTACCTCTAAAAGTTCTGCATGATTACTTTTGGCGAGTGCACATTATTTATTATGAATGTTCTACAGCTTTGGGGAGTGACATCCAATTTGATCATCAAAATGTGGTTGTTTTATATTTTGTGTATTGCTACTAATACAATCAACAACTTATTAGGTTCGCAACCCACTTGTACAACTGAAGTTGAACTACAGCCAAGCTTCTGTTAGCTATCGAAGGATGCTTCCATTCCTTGAGGATCTTTTCAAAGATAATCCAGAGAACTGTACGCATCTACTCCCCCCAATGATAATCTTCCTTCCATAAAGCCATGCTTCTTGATGATGTTAAAGTTTAGTTTTGATTTATTTATTTACATTTTCAGGTGCCTTGGGAAACATCAACTGTCCAAGACCAGAGAAAGAATTGGCAACTATGAATTTGGATTCACCGAGTTCAAATTCTTACAATTCCCAGGATAAATCAGAATTCTTGGTATCTTGCAACATGCCATGCGATGGAAATTCAGATGCTCTCTCATTGCCTCTGTCGAATAGTATTAACGACGTGGTTTGTGAAGCCGATGAAGTTTTAATGCCTGCTGGAGTCAATGATATACTTCTATCACCACCAATATCACCACCAAAATTACTGCTGCAGTCTGATCAGGAGATGTTGGAGAAATGTAAATTGAAAATGGACCCTCAATTAAATGATCAAGCAGTCTCATCATCATATCTTGCTACGAGTTATGAGCCTCTGACTGGAGAAGGATCCAGAATGACCTCCGAACAATCTCCAAATACTTCAGAAGACTGCACGAATTTGACAGAATATGTTTCTGATGGTACTAAACTCCCTGAGAGGAACAGCTTAAAACCTATAGAAGCATGTATTCTGCCAGAAAATCACATCAACGTTAGAAAGGGAATTCTTAAACGGAACCCACGAGGATGCAGAGGAATCTGCAATTGTTTGAACTGTTCCTCTTTTCGTCTCCATGCTGAAAGAGCATTTGAATTTTCTAGAAATCAACTGCAAGACGCTGAAGAAGTTGCTTCAGATTTGATGAAAGAATTGTTGCTTCTCCGTGGTGTCCTAGAAAAGTATGCTGATAGTACAAAAGAAGGGGATGCTGGATATCATTCAAATAAGGTATGTGCATAAACTAGATATTGATTCATTTGAGCAATGGTGTGCTACTTTAATACGCACATTATGCTGGCAAATATCATCTTAAGATAATAATTGATTCTAATAATTTAACTTGCTCTCTTTTAAGCTTGCTTACATACTCGTGTAATAACCTTGACCTTGAAATATCTATGCTCTATTTCACACTTCTACAGGTGAAAGAAGCTTGTAGGAAAGCATCTGAAGCAGAGCTAATTGCAAAAGACCGCCTTCTACAAATGAACTATGAACTTGGCATTCATTGCAGAATCACGGTACTCCATTTAAAAGTTGGAAGTTTTTCTCTCTTCAATGTCAATCCTTTAAAGATTATCTTTTGCTTTAGTCACTGAAAGCTCATTTATCTTCGACAGTGCTCCCAACGACCAAATGTTAGATTCTCTAGTGAAGTTGAGAGAATAGAGATTGAAGATGGCAAATAGACCAAGACGACGAAGACTCCGAATCTGGTTACCGTGATCATAGTTGCAGCCTTAACTCTTCCGCTTATGTAAGGCTGGGATTTCATGGATGAAACGGATGGTCTTTCATTCCATTTGGGATGCTCAAGGCATTTGCATCACTCGGTGAAAGAGCTTCATTGTAGTTGACCTTGACCTCGACCTCGTGGGAAAACGTGGTAAGTTTTTTAGACTCCGAATGGTGTAGATTATTGGGTGTAGCTGTATATAAACTCAACTTGTGGGGATCTTCCCTACGGCTAAAATGGATTATTATATGTTTGGAAGAGCTTAGTTGAATTGAAGAATGAGGGGTTTAATCATACAATCAGCCACTTATTGAGCTGCAATTTGCTCGTCATGGATTGAATCCAAGATCAGTGCAGGTATCATCAACTGCGGGAGAGTTTGATATTTGGCCTTCATGTTCAAATTCGTTACTGTTCGAAGATGGGAATGAGCATCGGTATTCAATGCTCATGTTTGTTTCAAGGTGTTCTAAAATGATTGGATTATCTCTTTTTCTTTCCTCTATTAATTTGTTTTTCATTTTTATTTGTAATTTTGTTTTGGATATACTTAATTAATTCAACCATTAATTGATCTTAGTTTACCAAAATTAATTTTAATAATTATGTATTTAAATATATATTTATTTCAGTTTATTAAATGAATGAATTACTTATTTATTAAAATTATTAATTAATTAGCCTATATATAGGTATATTTATTTATAACTATGTATACATAATAAATACTATTAAATCAATTAAAAAATTAAATTAGATTGATAAACGTGTATCCATCTAGCCACTATTTATTATTTAACTATTAATAAATTATTTAAACTCGATTTATAGTTTAGTCTCGAAGTGTGTGAGAATATGTACTATCAATTTTGGATAATAGTCGAGTAAGTTGTAAGTAAATAATTTTTTTTATTACATTCCACGTGTTTTGAGTTGGAATTATATACGGTTAATGAAGAATAAAATATAAATAATTACCAAAAATATATTTATTAAGATGGTAAGTTAAAATAAAATTAAAATTAAATAAATAAATAATCGTCCTCTTCAACTTAATTTAGCCACTAAATTATATTTACGTTGACATATATATATATATTTTATAAATTGATACAAACTTCCGCTTTAATATTTATATCATAACATTATTTAAAAAAACAAAAATAGGATGAAAATTAATATGTATTTTAATGAATAATAAAAATAATATAACATCTTCAAGAACTCTCTATAATTAATTTATTAATTATGACACACAATGAGACCATAGAACATGGGGTGCCCATAAGTTATGGGATTATTTAATATATATATATATTAATGGAAGGCAAATTAGGAAGCTTTTGAACCCAAAAATAAGGGAACATTTATTAATTAATTAATTAATTTATCCCTTTAGAGTTGAAATCTATTTAAAGTAGACCATCAGCAAACCATGTTCCTATGTTTTTTTTTTTCACTTTTAAACTCACTTTAATCTAATATTGAATAAGGGAGCCTCTCAACGCTGCTAATATTCAAACCATCGAATCTAATACTATGCATTCGTATTACTCGATGCCTCTCAACATTGAAAAACACGTATACCTGGTATTTTCGTTCATAGCATCGAGATGCTATGGACAACATCTCGATGCTATTCCATGCTTATTTAAATTATTCATGCAGCTAAGGACACAGTTAAGACACTAATCTTGTTGTCTCAGCACTCGTCTATCCCATTCCAACCGATTTTGGGACTTATGATTGTGGAGATCTTAACGGGAATGAAAAGCGACATGCAACATTAAATTTTCTGTCTCTTTCTCTTTACGTTATAGATCGGATTTTTCATTAAGTCAAGATTTCGTTGTAGAGTTGCTAGACTTTGTTTTTAGGAGATTAATGTAGCCAATTGACGTTCTAAACAATGTCATATATGTCTTTTTATTCTTACATATCAGTTTTTCTATGATATTTTCATGAAAACTTATAAAAAAAATTCTAAAAAAAAAAATTAAATTTGTCAAAATTTAAGAATATGATTCAAACTTATTTTAACGTACTAATACCATTAAAAAATAAGAATATTATTCAAAAATATTCATATGAGCAAAAATGTTAATGAATTTAATACAATATCAATGTCTTTAACTAATTTTAGAAAAGATATAAATATAAGTATACATAAATTAATAAATTAGCATTTTCAACCTATAAAAATCTATAACATGATCTTAAAAAAAAGTTAAAGTTGTTTCAAATGATCCGAGTAATCTAGATTACCCAATTCAAATCATAAACGTTAGATTGTTTAGAATTTTTTTTATTGGTTTGAGTAGGATGTTGACATTTTTTTTGTTGGGTCAATTCGACCGGCTTGAAAATAAATTATAATTTAACTTTACTTCTAAGACTGTTATAAAAAAATCCGATTTAAATAATCATTTATTTGGTACTTTCAAAGGAGCAGGAACTGTCATTCTAACCCTTCTCGAGAGATTTCATCTACAAACGCAAAGTTTATGGCTGACCGATATGACTCATCATCATTTAGCTACCCAACCAAATTTACAATTCAATTCAACTAAAAAAACAGAGAGTTCGTTCCATTATGAACTCTAATGGGTCTAGTAGGGTCACCAACTCAACTAACTGGTTTAAAAGATCTTTTCATTAAAAAAAAAACGAGGAAAAAAAAAGATTATTATAAATTTAAAAATAATCTTTTAATATAGAATATAGTCGACTAAATTAATAAAATATTTCTAAACTTTATATTCTATTTTACCCAACACTCTTAATTTTCTTATTTAAGCTTTTATAATACTAATAAAATTTAATATTAATATTTTTAATCTTATATATCACCTTCAAATTTTTTCAAAAAAATGGAAGAATATCAATATTATTAAAAATATTTTTTAATTTTAATTTTTTTAAAAAAATTAAAAATATTATTATTTTTAAAATTTGAGAGTATTTTAAAAATAAAGTATTAACGGTTTACTCCCAAATTAGACTGTAATAGAGTTTAAGGGTATTTTTCTATTTTTTATTTTAAATTTAAGAATATATTTTTATTTTTACTTCTAAATTATTTATCTATATATATATATATGAATTGAATTAAAATTAAAAAAAGGGTAAATTATTGAGAATTATTAAAAAATAATATGGTTCACATGCCACAGTTCTCCTCCTTCATCCTTCTGCAACACTCCTTCCCCTCCATTAAATTAACTTCATCTTCAACCTCTCTCTCTCTCCTCTTTCTCTCTCATCCTCCAATGGGTTCCCTCAACCCTATCCTCTCTCTCTCAACCCTTACCCTCCTCCTCTTCGCCGCCGCCGCCGCCGCCGATGATGCCGCCGTCATCCAGAAGCTCGCTGCTGCAGTCTCCCCAACCCCCACCGGTTGGTCCACCAACACCCCATTCTGCAACTGGAAAGAGATACGCTGCGACTCCTCCAACCGTGTCACCTCCATTAACTTGGCCTCCAAGTCGCTCTCCGGCGTTCTCCCTTCCGATCTCAACTCCCTCTCTCAGCTCACTTCTCTCTCTCTTCAACGCAACTCTTTCACCGGCCCTATCCCTTCCTTCGCCAATCTCTCTTTCCTCCAATCCCTTTACCTTGACAACAACAATTTCTCCTCTGTTTCTCCTGGTGCCTTCCAGGGCCTTACGAGCTTGCAAAATTTGAGCCTAAACCAGAATGTCGATCTTGCTCCTTGGTCGATTCCGACCGAGTTAGCTCAGGCTTCTAGTTTGGTCAATTTCTATGCCGGAAACGCCAAAATTGTTGGGTCTTTGCCGGATTTCTTCGATTCGTTCCCTAGTTTGCAGGAGCTTCGTCTTTCTTACAATAATCTTACAGGGGTTTTGCCCAAATCTCTCGGTGGATCTGTGATTACCAGTTTGTGGCTGAACAATCAGGATATTGGGTTGTCGGGTTCTATTGATTTGTTGTCATCCATGACTCAATTAACTCAGGTTTGGCTTCAGAAGAATCAATTTACAGGGCAGATTCCGGATCTTTCTAAATGTGAAGGTTTGTTTGATCTTCAACTTCGTGATAATCAGCTTACTGGGGTTGTTCCTCCGTCGCTTATGCAGCTTTCTAGCTTGAAAACCGTGAGTTTGGATAACAATATGCTTCAGGGGCCATTGCCTGTGTTTGATTCAAGTGTTGATGCGACTTTTAGTAGTGTGAATAGGTTCTGTAGGACTACGCCTGGGCCGTGTGATGCTCAGGTTTCTGTGCTGCTTGCGGTTGCTGGGGCTTTTGGGTACCCAATTTTGTTAGCTAATGCTTGGGAAGGGAATGATGCTTGCCATAATTGGAACTTTGTGGTTTGTACTGAAGGGAAGGTTACCAATGTTAACTTAAGGAAACAGCTCTTGGTGGGGGTGATCTCCCCTGCATTTGCTAACTTAACAAGTTTGAAGGATTTGTATTTGAATGACAATAGATTGACCGGCGAGATACCGGAGAGTTTAACGACGTTGCCGCAGCTTCAGAATCTCGACGTTTCGAACAACAATTTGAGTGGTCAGGTACCCAAGTTTGGTGCATCAGTTAAGCTGAACACGAAGGGTAATCCATTGCTTGGGACTATCTTGAGCCCTGGAGGACATGATGGTGGAGCTGGTGGGAAGGTTGATTCCAATGGCACCACCACAGATGGGACAACGTCAGGATCTTCAAATGGTTCCTCTGTTTCAGCTGGTGTCATTGTTGGCGTTGTCGTTGCTGTCGTTGTTTTCGTCGCTGTCTTATTGTTTGTTGTGTTCAAATGTTATGCAAGCAATAGGCATAAGAAGTTTGGGAAAGTGAATAATCCTGAAAATGGTAAGGAGATTGTGAAGAGTGATGCAGGGAGTGGGTTGAATGGCGGCTATGCTGGTGTTCCAAGTGAGCTGCAAAGCCAGAGTAGCGAGGATTTCAGTAACGACATACACGTTTTCGAGGGGGGAAACGTAGCGATATCGATACAAGTTTTGAGGCAAGTTACAGACAATTTCAATGAGAGCAATGTGTTGGGAAGGGGAGGTTTTGGCGTCGTTTACAAAGGCGAGCTGCACGATGGCACGAAAATTGCTGTGAAAAGAATGGAATCGGGCGCAATGGGTACGAAAGGAATGACTGAGTTTCAAGCTGAAATTGCTGTGCTTACTAAAGTTAGGCATAGGCATTTGGTTGCTCTTTTGGGCTATTGTATCAATGGCAATGAGAGGCTATTGGTGTATGAATACATGCCTCAAGGGACATTGACTCAACATTTGTTTGATTGGGAAGAGAATGGCTATCCATCGCTCACTTGGAAGCAGAGAATTACTATTGCATTGGATGTGGCTAGAGGAGTTGAGTATCTACATAGCTTAGCTCAACAAAGCTTCATTCATAGAGATTTGAAGCCTTCTAATATACTTCTTGGTGATGATATGAGAGCTAAGGTTGCTGATTTCGGCTTGGTTAGAAACGCGCCTGATGGGAAGTACTCCGTGGAGACTCGGTTGGCTGGAACGTTTGGCTATCTTGCTCCTGAATATGCAGGTAACTATGACCGTTTTGTTAGGAACCATGACTCTCTTGAATGGTATGATATTGTCTACTTTGAGCATAAGCTCTTATGACTTTTATGCCAATGGAGATGTATGATCAACCCCTTAATTAGTCGATACGGGATTCCTCTCCTAATAGGCCTATGGATCCCTCAAACAGTCTCTTCTTAATCGAGACTTGACTCCTTCTTGGAGCCCATCGAACAAAGTACACCTTTTGTTCTAACTCTTTAGTCACTTTTGACTACACCTTTGAGGCTCACAATTTCTTTGTTCGATATTTGAGGATTCTGTTGACATGTCTAAGTTAAGGGCATGACTCTGATACCATGTTAGGAACCACGACTCTCTATAATGGTATGATATTGTCTACTTTGAGCATAAGCTCTCGTGACTTTGCTTTTGGTTCCCCAAAAGGACTCGTACTACTGGAGATGTATTCCTTGCTTATAAATCCATGCTCGCTTAAGTTGATGATGTTGAGGTGATTGAGCATGGTTTCGACCAAATTGTTGCTACTTAGATTCATATGGTTCATAGGTATTGATTGTTAGTCTGTTTCTGGTAAGGATTTATGTTTCTTTCAATTTCGTCTTAACAGCGACGGGAAGGGTAACGACGAAAGTCGACGTATATGCATTTGGAGTAGTTTTGATGGAGATCATCACAGGTCGAAAAGCGTTAGACGACACAATGCCAGACGAGCAAGCTCATTTGGTAACATGGTTCCGTAGGGTCTTAAACAACAAAGACAACATTCCAAAGGCGATCGATCGAACTCTCAACCCAGACGAGGAGACCATGGAGAGCATATTCAAGGTGGCCGAGTTGGCAGGACATTGCACAGCTCGCGAGCCACACCAACGACCCGACATGGGGCACGCAGTCAACATCCTTGGCCCGCTTGTCGAACAATGGAAACCTACAAGCCAACACGAAGAAGAAACAGACGGGATCGATATGCACATGAGCCTACCTCAAGCGCTTCGAAGATGGCAAGCCAATGAAGGAACATCCACAATGTTCAGTGACATTTCATACTCACAGACCCAGACGAGCATCTCTTCAAAGCCTCCAGGATTTGCAGACACCTTTGACTCCATGAACTGCAGATGAAACAAGAACATGCTCTACTCATTTGTGTCTTTGTTTGCTTCATTCTTTCATTAATGCCTAACTTTGGAATTTTTGCTGCCTTCTTAAGCCATTTTAATTTGTATGATAACTATATATAAATATACTCACCACTTCAATCAAATCATGAATTTAGTATCCAAATTTAGTGTCCATTCCTTAATTAGTTCTAATTAATAATAACATTATTAACTAAATGATTACGACTTATTTCCCAACTTGAAGCAGTACTTTTGATTAAGAACTTGTTAGTTTGAATACTCTTGGTCGAACGTATTATTTAGGAGTGTTAGTATTACTCAGTAACCCGTTTATAGATATTGTCATAACGGTTGCATTATCTTAGATTTCTTTTTTGGTTTGGAATTCAGTTCAGTTTACGGTAACCTTTTCTTTATAATGATCTAATCTTCTTGGAAATCTGTGATTCGAGACCAAGACCAATCCATTTATTATGAGAAGTCGATTCATGGGTCAATCACCCGGGCCTGGTTACTGTGACCCCCTTTGTGAGGAGGCACTTCATAGGGTCTTTCTGTCCACGTGCAGGTCTCAGTTGGTAGACCTAAGGACTGAAAATCCCAAAAATAGTTACGACCCAACTCTACTGTTAGATTAAAAATATTTAACTTTGTAACTGATATCAATATTTGAATTTTATGATATTTTAGTTATTAATATAATATGTCTCGTAAATAAGTAGATTTTATTTTAATAAATAATTTAAGAAAAGGACCCCACAACCTAACCCAACCCAAGATTAGGTTACCTTTCTTTTTTTGGTTTGGATTAGGTTGAATTTTTGGGAAGTCGAAAAATTCCGTTCAATATGCAGTTTAACATTTTTTGATCGGGTAACCTGAAAACAGGGTTAGAATCCAACCCTATTGTTAAAAAAGATTAAGAATATTTAGCGTTATGTCACTACTGATGCTAGTGATGTATTTTATAAATAATTTAAAAAATGACTCGACAACCTAATCTAACCTAACTGAACTCAAGATTGAGTTGAGTTGTAAACTCTACTCGGGTTGTTCGGATCACCAACAAACCATTTGGAAATTTTGCGGATCCAGTCTAACTCGAAGGAATTTAGACCAATGATTCTTCCAGCTGTGAAAGATGAGAAAGTGAGGAAAACACTTCACATGTCACTTTGTTTCCTTTGGGTATTCCAAAAGCTAAGTGTAAAATGAGTTGTAACAAAGCTGGAAGAAAGAGAGGGAATTTTGAAAGCTTTTTTTGTATTTGGTGAAGCTTTGTGGGTCTCACTAAAGGGACTTTAGTTGGATCATAATACTCACTTTTTTGGCTATCAAATGCACATGGGCGCCTTCTTCTTTTGCAAATCCGACTCATTCGGTTCGATTCCGTTCCTTCTATGTTATACCTCTATCAGATATGGTGCTGGTTTGCAAGCAAAACGCTATGAATAAAATTACGAATTAAAGTATTATAGAAAAATCATGAAAATATGTAAAACATTAGATATATGTTGATACTGTTGTGGCTGTATCAACTCTATTTTTTGCGGTTACAGATGTTTCCGAGGTGGGAGGGATAGTCTCTACCTACTTCCTTTTTCATTTTTTTTTTTTTTTTTTTTTTTTTCTTTTTT